GTGCCTGACTGCATTCTCTACCTTTATAGAAGAAATAATAGTATTTCTTACTCTTTTATTTTCTTGCCTCCCTAGGATTGTAGCTTTTAGATGTTAAACACATTAGTTAGCACTCAAATTATGCTTTTACTACTAGCCTAATACTAATAATATAGTACAATCATCATCAGTCGCACTTCATATTAGGTGTCTTTAACGACTATGTGCATATTTACACAACGCACATTGCATTGTATCAAATGATACATTTAAATGTTAGTACATTGTCGTTAAACACAGTTTATTTAAAGCGAGACCTCATCATCTTTTTATTTTTTATTTTTTTACATGTATTTACTGACCTTCCACATTACTGCAGCTGCGTGACTACACGAGCACCCTGGACCTGCGATACATGAGCACCCTGCACCATTTCAGTCGCATTTGCGACTGAAAACTACTGCGTGCAACTATGAAATAATATTTAGGAGCACCTGTGCGACTGTCCAGATCAGCATATTTGTGTTTGCACTGAGGGAGCTTCAAAGGTTCTAACGTACTTACGAATGTTAAAAAGCTTATAAATATATTTTTTGGATTTTGACATAAAAGATGACATACTTTTAATAAAGTTAGAAAAATGCCATTACAAAGGTAAAAACAAAATTCCCTGTAAATCACTTTAAGGAGTCAACTATCACCTCGTAATGGGAAGGTTAATATTTTTGTCAGAATTTTTGATTACTGATTAGAAAGTGCTCCTAAATTTTTGACCGTGCTCCTACATTTTTTAAATTAGGAGCACAAGCGCTCCTAAAAAGAAAAGTATCCGTAGAGCCCTGGGTATGTTGATGTTTTCCTTTATAAGTTCTGTCAGCGTGTGATTCCACATCTTGCTATAAATGAATGAGAAGCGACACTGACTGCAGCGAATGAGTGTTTCCCTCGTAACGGAAGTTCCACCCATAATTCGCGCAAAGCATCATGGGGCGTAGGAAATAACGGTGCTTGTTTGCGGAAGTGATCAAAGCCAAAGGACGAAGATTGTGCAGGCATGATGGAGGTATGTAACGGTTTCTGCAGGAGTGCAGGAATCATTCAACAAACAGTTGCATGCTGACTGAAAAGAGCACACACACTTTAAGATTTCGTCGCTGTGATGATTTTAATGCTGAATATTGGCAATTAAGCATGCAAAGGTCTTGAAATTATTTTTTATGGTCGGAGCAGGTGCGGAGGAAATTATTGAACTCGGTTGAAAAGTGCGTAGACGAGGCTTTGGAGGGTCTCGTCAGGAGTAACGGGGGTCTGGCGCTGCTGCGGGGCCACAGAGTTGTGCTGCGGTCCGATCTGGAGAGCATTAAGGGAAAGGTAGCGCTCCTTTCCGGAGGAGGATCCGGCCACGAACCCGCGCATGCAGGTAATGCATGATACACCAGACCCTCCCTCTTCTGGCTCACTTCACTGGCTCTCTGGCCCTGTCCCAAATGTACCTTAAACCCTTGCAAGTGCACGCGAAGTGTCCATTTGGGACAGAGCTACTCTCTTTCTCGCTGGCACAGACACGCACACATGCTTATTTTTTCTACTTGATTTAGCTCTTAAACGTACATTGATTGGTGTAACCTAATATAGTCATGTGGAATCAGTCATTATAAATAATATTTTAAATATTGAAAATGATATTTAAAAAAAAAATAAAGGTCACCTGACAAAACATTGTATATTAGAGTTAAGGCATGTGCACACCAAGAGTGAATATGATATATTTCTAAGTGGACGTTTCCACACTGAGGAAGAAAGTATATTTTAATTAAAATTTTTCTAGAGAATGTCTTTTTTCTGTATTTTTTCATCAATTAAAATGTCCGACCGATAAGGCATGATCCAGCAATAGTTTTAAATTAAATATGATTTTTATAGGGAATTTTGACAGAATCACTGTTCTACGGCTGATCAACTGAATCGGCCAGTGGTCAATTGAACGTAGGCCTGTCACGATAACAGCTTTTTGTTGTGTGATATATTACCCCAGAAATAATTGCAATAAGCGATATTATTGTCACTTTAAAGCCCATTTTATGCCACTGAATATATAATCATAATGTAACAGCATAATAATGCAAGAAGGCCTACACACTTCCAAATGACAACAAACTTTTAATTCTTAAGAATATTTAGATCATGGAGATTAAGTATCAAAATATTAGATACCTTTAAAAAACCTGAATAAATAAGTAAATAAATAAATAACAAAAAGTGCAAAGTAACAAGTAAAAGGAAAAAAAAAATACACAAAAAAATGATGGAGATTTTTCCATCTACAGATTTTCCCTGACCTTCTATTCTCTGTAAATGAAGGGTTCAGTCACCAAAAATTATTGAGGTCATGTACATATATTGCGCGATAAGTCGATATATTGATTATTGCGACAGGCCTAATTGAACGGGCCGTATAACATCAACAATGCAACGGATATTAACTAAGGGTGCTCCGATCAGGATTTTTGGATCACAGGAAGCAGTATCTGCCGATACGATCACCGATACCGATCTTTTTGAAGCCTTCTTTTTATAATTTATACCTATTTATAATGATACTCCACTCAGGATTTTTAGACATTTATTCAGGGCCTGAATTTCTATTTTGAAAATGAGGGGAATTCCCCTCTGAGGTGACTCTTGTGAGAGGGGAAGCAGCAGGGACTGTGCTTTCACACAGGAGTCCGCTACTGATCCGTGGCTGTTTACCACAAACACAACATTTATCCATTATTTTGATTTCAAATCCAAACATTGTCACTGAAAATGCTTTTTCAGCATTGCAATTCTTTTTTTTTACACAGTACAGTAATACAATATTTCACAGACATGTTTAAACACAATAAATATAAGCAACCCATTATTCAATACTTTTTACTTTTGGATTCACTTAGATTCAGGGGCGTGTCTACGTGGTGGCCAGGGGTGGCACCGGCCCCCCCTGAAATTTGGCTGGCCACCCCAGGTGCCCCCCCTACCAGATATCTTGCGATAGGCTTGTTTTTAGTAAATTTCGAACTGCATCTGGCAGTGGCGGATCCTGGCATGTGTAGGCAGCTGCCTAGGGCCGCTTTCTTCTCTTCTTTATACTTAATTTTAGGCGGTTTCTATAGTGTGATCTTAATGACAATGTCGAGAGCGCATAATGTTACGCGATCCATGTGCGTGAGGACGAATCTCTCCACTCCCAAGCGGATTTCCTTCACTCACACAAAACTGGACGGGTGCTTTTAAATATTGTTCTTTTATGAATTGGCTCTGCTCTGTCACTGTCTCTGTCACTCTTTGTTTAGTGAGTGTACACGATGTATTATAACACAGTAACTTTAATAATATGTCTTTATGGTGTAATTACTACATTTTCGTGTCGATCTATGTTCATATTTACTGCAAACAATGCTCTGTTACTTTAATTCTTCGCTTGCAGTGCAGCACTAGACTCAGTGCGGAAATTATCTCTGCACTGCTGCAGACGCACCACTAATGGAACGCACTGCCTGACCGCAACCGTGTGCAGTGAACACTTTAATTCGTTAACATGAGCGCGAAAAAAATACGCACCACGTATGCAAACGGAGTAGTGAACCTGACGATGTGACACTGCCTCGATTGTGCAAGTGACAATTCCTGTGTAAACTGTGCAGCGTGCAGCTTGCTTATAGACAGATGTGATTTGAGAGAGAGAGAGAGCGAGCGCGCGTGGTGATTCACTCACGTTGTTTGTGAAATTACGTCTCACACAAGGTTTTCAAATTACTTTATAAGTTATTTAATGAAGAAATATGAAGGTGAGTACCTCACCTTCAGCATTATAATTATTTCACCCGCGCCGGACAGAGACTGAGACGGTGCCGCTGCATGTCGTGCCAAACCTCTCACTGCAGGGTCATCGGCTTGAGATCGTTTCTTTGAGATCGGCCTTTTTAGAGACCGCCGATCAAACATCCCAACGTGATTATCGGCCGATAGTGATCGGTAGCCGATCAATCGGAGCACCCCTAGAAGTCTAGTAGTCATTCGGAACGACGTCTTGGGGAGCCAATTGTTGAGCATTGGCTGAAGAATGGTGCGGAGTTGTGGGCTGGTTGAAGTTTTGTCGGCAGGCACAGACAAAGTCTGAGACATGGCTTTGTGGCAAAACTTAACTCGGAACACAAAACTCTCAATGGAAAAGAAAGAAAAGAGTGTGATGACTAGATGGCTTAGATGGCTTATTTCCTCATGATGGTAGAGGAGCAGCTGGCATTCAAGCCAGAGCACGCTGGGAAAGCGCTCGAAGAACTTGAAGGGAAAAAGCCATGGCAAAAAAAACAAAATTTGATTGTGTCCTGAGTTTTTAAACTCAGCTGTTGGACATATCCCAAATGGTGTCTTGACCAATTAGACATTGTCTTAGCTCGGGGTGTTACTACATTTCTCCTCCTCCAAATACATAAATAAACATGTTATCTTATTAGTCACATGATCCGAATTTTCCCGCTCTTGCAGAGCATAATTTGGACAATGGTTTCTATAACAAGAATCTGATACATTTTACAAAGTATTGATTGATAGAAACGTTTCAAGTAGGACACTTTCTTTTGACACACATGCATACCAAACTCGAATATAAACCTATAAACTATTCAGTAGTTATTCAAAAGGACATACACAATGAGTGATTAGAACGTGATAGTCAAATGTGTGGGTTACATACATGATATGGAGTTATGCAGTGGAATGAAATTTAATTTATAAGTCCTTTTAGCATCATTTTGGTGCATTTATATATGTAAAAGACTGTCTCTGTGTCGTTCTGTGAATGTGAGGATGTGTTCTGTGAGGAGCAAAAGATCTCTGTCTCTGTCCTGAGTGGTGGAAAACCCAAGGAAGTCTTAACTCATGATTTCCCTCATAATGGTCATGATGTGTTGTCTCTTCGATCATTATTCTTGGGTTGCTTGCCCCAAATTCCTGAGTTGGAAATATCAATAAGTGTTCTTTGTTTTAATGCTGCAAGCTGTTCAAAGCTGCTAGTTAGTTAGACTTGCATCAGACTTGTGATGCCAGGATCCTGGAGAGATTTATGGTCAACATCTTGCAGCAAATCAGCATATTACAGTGATTTCTGAAGAATCATGTGACACTGAAGACCAAAGTAATGGCTGCTGGAAATTCAGCTTTGTCATCACTGGAATAAATTACATTATAAAATATATTAAAATAAAACACAGTAATTTTAAATTGCAAATATATTTTACAATTTCACAAAAAAATGTTTTTTTACTGTATTTTTGAGCATAAATGCAACCTTGGTTAGCAATCTTACCGACCCCAAACTTTTGATTAGTAGTGTACATTTATGCATGTGACAGACACTTATTATTATGGTCTGCTATTTTAAACTATTATGACATTTGAGAAATCTCACTCTCACTCAGGTTATATTGGCGTGGGAATGCTGTCCGGAGCTGTGGCGGGAGCAGTATTTGCGTCTCCTCCTCCAGGCAGTGTGCTGGCCGCCATTCTGACTCTGTGGAAGGGGGGTGCTTCGGGAGTCCTGCTCATCGTGAAGAACTACACGGGTGACCGCCTAAACTTTGGCATAGCTGTCGAACAGGCCCGGACACAGGGCATGCATGTGGACATGGTGATTGTGGCTGATGACTGCGCCTTCGCTCAGCCCAGCAAGGCCGGCAGGAGAGGCTTGTGTGGAACTGTGTTCATTCATAAGGTACCATAATGAGTTTGAGTGGCAACATTAATGAATTGTAATCATCAATAATGACAAAACAAGAATTGTTTATTTTAATGAGTGCTGTTTTTATTTTTAGATGGCTGGAGCTCTGGCAGAGAAAGGCTGTCCATTGGATGAAATTGTTGCACGGATGAACGAAGCAACAAAAAATATTGGTAAGAAAAACCAGCATAGTACTGTCTGGGTTGTTTAGATGAAATGTTGCAGTCCTGCATTAAATTTGTTTCCGGTGTGGATGTACATCCACTGTCCTATGTGAAAAATATTTTGGTGTTTTTACAGGCACGCTGGGTGTTAGTCTGTCTCCATGCAGTGTGCCTGGATGCCTTCCATCTTTCCAGCTTCCACCAGGAGAGATGGAGCTGGGACTGGGTAAGAGAGATTAATATCTAAAGAGTAAAAATATCTAATTTTATGTAGCAGTAAGGATACTTACATATTTTTTAAATGTTTTTTTTTTAAGTCTCTTTTGCTCACCAAGGCTGCATTTATTTGATAAAAAATACAGTGAAAACACTAATATTGTGAAAAATTATTACAATTTAACATAACTGTTATCTATTTTAATACATTTTAATATTTTAAATCCTGTGATGGCAAAGCTGAATTTTCATCAGCCATTACTCCAGTCTCCAGTGTCACATGATACTTCAGAATTCATTCTAATATGCTGATTTGGTGCTCAAGAAACATTTATTATTACTATCAATTTGAAAATAGTTGTACTTGTTAATATTTTAGTGGAAACTGTGATAAATGGAAAGTTCAAAAAAACAGCATTTATCAGAACTGGAAATCTTTTGCAATATTTTAAGTCTGTTTACCGTCACTTTTGATCAATTTAATGGGGTCATATGATGTTGCTAAAAAGAACATTATTTGGTGTAATGAAATGTGTTTATGCGGTTTAAGGTTCAAAAAACACATTATTTTCCACATACTGTACATTATTGTTTCTCCTCTATGCCCCGCCTTTCTGAAACGCGTCGATTTTTTACAAAACTCATCGGTCTGAAAAAGCGAGATGTGCTCTGATTGGCCAGCTATCCAGTGCGTTGTGATTGGCCGAAT